TATGACCCCAATATATACCCTTTAATAATATAGTAGTTTTCCCAATATACGCCCAATACATCCCCTATAGTACCTCAATGGGTACCTATTCCCTAGTGCATGTCCAGTCCGCCGAAGATGCCGATCTGGTTTTGCCCTCTGCCGCCGTAAACCCTAAAACCCTAAACCCTGAACCCTAAACCCTAAACCCTGAACCCTGAACCCAAAACCCTGAACCCTAAAACACTCAAGCTGAAACCCTGTATGTCTCAAGCAGCGCAGGGCTCCTTTTTAAAATCTACATGCAAACAGCACGAGACATCGTGACCTTCTGCAGGAGCAGAACATCGTCATCAGGAATGCGGGGCGTGCCCTCTTCACGCAGCGGACTCGGACTCCAATTGGTTTCAGTAGGGTATATATTGGGGTTAAATTGGGATAATGGAAAAGAAGATGGAAACTACTATATTCTCAAACGGTATATGTTGGGGTTATATTGGGATAATGGAAAAGAAAATGAAAACTACTATATTATCATAGGGCAAAATAGCGTAGGCTTCTCTGTCAGGGTTTCTGGGCCTTGCTTTCGCGATCAATTTTTCATGCCAGCCGCTATGGAACTGAATGCTTCAGATGATTCGGAGATCATGCTACCGAGCACTTGCGGAGCCCCCATGGAGGACCTCGTTGTGATTAGCCACATAAGGCGCCACATGGATTTGAGTGGAACTGAGGCATTCAGGTAGTCTAAGCAGGACTTCCGTGCTCAAAATCTCCCAGCGGCCAGCGCGGCGCACCTGAAACCTCAAACCCCACGCTTTCAAGTATTGTTACCCTATTTTACCCTATGATAATATTGTGGTTTCCATTTTCTTTTCCATTATGGTTTCCATTTTCTTTTCCATTATCCCAATATAACCCCATTATATACCGTTTAAGAATGTAGTAGTTTCCATTTTCTTTTCCATTTCCCCTTACAACCCCAATATCTGCCCTGTAATAATTTAGTAGTTTTCATTTTCTTTTCCATTATCCGTATACAACCCCAATATCCACCCTTTCATAATTTAGTAGTTTCCATCTTTTTTTTCCATTATCCCTATAAAGCTGCAACATATTCTCTATATTAGCCTGTCTTATCCCTGAAACCTAAACCCTAAACCTGAAAACCCGAATCCCTACCCCTAAACCCTAGGCCCTAAACTTTAAAATCAACCCTAAACCCAAAGACCCTAAAACCTAAACCCTTTCTTATCAGGCTGTACCAAACTCTGCTGAGGAATCTGCAGGGCTTTGGCGCCACTGTCGGATGCTTCCAGGCCTCGGCCCTCCAAAAAGTTCAGGTTCAGGGTTTAGGGTTCAGGGTTTATATGCGTGCGCCCTCCGCGTTCCCACCCCCCCATGGTATCCACCCCCCCATCCCACCCCCAGTGTCACAGTCACAGGGATGGGGCCCCTCGGGGTCGCCATCCTGGTAACTGTCATCGTTTTTGACGCCTGAAAACTGCCTTCCTCGTGACTGTCGTGACTTTTGGACCTATGTGTCGCTCAAAAGCGCTAGCAGTCACAGGGATCAGGGTGGTCCTCATCGCTATCTTCGCAACTGTCATCGCTCTTGACACCTGATATGGTTGTCTCAGTTTAAAAGTA